TTTTGCGAACAGAGTTATCCTACTTGAGTTTAAAAAATTAAAGTGAAACTAGCAAGTTTTTGAATGAATTTCGGAAGAACGCTTTTTTAAAATGGTTACGCTGACAAAAAAAAAACCTCTTCCGGAGGAAAGGGTGATTGTTTTCTTCGTTTGATTTGACTTTAGAATGAAAGGCGAGAGGTCATTAAAATATAAAAAAAAACTAAAACTCCGCACTGAACGAACCCGAACTGCTGATACACAGCAGTCGATCTGCGCACGCAAGGAGGTGCTATTCCTATTCTTTTTCTGGAAAAACGAAAGAGAGCTTCAAAACAGACTGTAGCGCCATCTGAAACAAAGAGCGAACTTCCTGCGGACACTTTTTTGGCTGAGTAGACCATCTTGTTATTTACTATCTTTGGTATAGTCTCCGGTAAATCAATAAAGAGTAGGTATCGATACTGTTGTCTCACCAAGGAGTCTCTGGTCTACATAACAAGAGGGGCCACTCCTTTCTTTGAGCCAATAAAAAAAAGTGTCCTCAAAATTCGGTGGTGCCCTCTTCGCAAATGCACACATTTTGCGAACAGAGTTACCCTACTTGTGTTTTAAAAAATCAAAGTGAAACTAGATTCTAGCAAGTTTTTGAATAAATTTTGAAGAACGCTTTTTTTAAATGGTAACGCTGACAAAAAACCTTTTCCGGAGGAAGGGGTGATTCTTTTCTTCGTTTAATTTGACTTTAGAAAGAAAGGCGAGAGGTCATTAAAATTATTATTTTAAACTAAAACTCTCCACTGAACGAACCCGAACTGCTGATGAACAACAGTCGATCTGCGCACGCAAGGAGGTGCTATTCCTATTCTTCTTCTGGAAAAACGAAAGTGAGCTTCAAAACAGACTGCAGAGCCATCTGAAGCAAAGAGCGAACTTCCGGCGGACACTTTTTTTTGGGCTGAGTGGACTATCTTGTTATGTACTATCTTTGGTCTCCCTCTATTGTGTAGCAACGCCCGCAGCCCACAGAGCCAATGATTTATAAATACCATGATAAGGCAATGCAGCGAAAGGCGTGCGAGCTCACGAAACTCCCTGGGGGAATGTCTGCGCGTCAACCGACGGTCAACCGCTGACCTGCTCCCTTATCAGCGCGCACCTGGTGCGGGAAGTGCGGGAAGTGCGGCTCGTTGTTCCATTGTTAGAGGCCATTAAAAGCTTGAAATATGTTGGTTTGAAGGTGAAGGCTTGCGTGTGACCAAGGCCCATACAACCAGACGGTTTAGAACACTAATCTTAGTCTCACCCTCGAAAAGCCTTTTTTTCATCACGAGGGTGATAAAATCACAATCCTCTTTGATTCTCCAGACTTAATTAAGAATTTGAAACAATTTGTTGATCTACCACAATTTATGTAGGCCTACTCATCATGATGATACTGCTAGCTGGGCAGTTATTGACAATTTCTCTGAAAAAGACAGTGCCTTAGGTTTATTCAGGGTGGCCCCCAAGTTAACCAACTGTGTGTCACGTTTTGGACGACAAAGCGTTTGTTTGACTGTGCAAAAAAAGCAAAAGCAAATAAATTGGGACACTACATAAAAATGTATCTCTGAATTAATCCTTTGTCTGACATCGCTATATCTGATTTCTGTAAAGACTGATGATCCTTTCAACGTTTTCATTTGGTCACTTGTGTCATTCTCTGTCAAATATCGTAACTTGAGTCTGAACTCACAATTGGCGCTACGAGAATCTAATCCGCCAGTCACCACATTCGTATTTCTGTTATATGTATCGTCCTAATGGCGCAGTATAAAAAAAAGCTACCAGTCTGTGAGACTGTATAAGAACTATCTTCAGCCAGCTGGAGACTCTAACAGTAAATGGAATCCCCCCCCCTCCCTCATATCCCCCTTCTCACCCCACCCCCCTAGTGCAGCACAATCAATTGTTGTGTTTTCCGATGACGACAAGATCAAATAATTTTGCGATATTAAAGAAAGCTTAGACAGCAAGTAATAACCGGACACGACTACATGTATTTTAAAGAAATGGGGGGGGGGGGGGGGGGGGGCAGTTACAAAGCCTGTTTAAACTGGTAGACCTTCTACTTCAACTAAACCAGTTGTGAGACCGGTCCGTGGTAGCCTTGACCTTTAACTAGGGTAAACCAGAGCATCACGGTAGACCGTCAACTAAACAGACAAGAGTAAAAGTCAGACACAAAAATTATGTGACATCACAATAAAGATTGAAATCTTTTGAAAATATTTTATTATCTAAAAATTGAATTTCGTGCTTTATATTGAATTACATAACACAATACAATATGTAATTTAATGTGCATGTACGCAGAGTTGGTTGTAACGGAATACACGTACTCCGGTACTTGTACTTACGTTACAATTTTCGGTACTTTTACTGTACTCCGGTACATTTTTGAGAACCAGTACATGTACTTTTACTGTACTCCGATATTTTTTTAATAAAGGAAGTGTCTACATTCTCTAACGTTAGAGAATGTATACAAGCTGTCTCCGTTCTCTACCGAATAAAAAAAAGTAACAATATTAAGTCTGTAGGGCCCTATTTGAACTTCCGGGTAAGGCTAGGCTACTTTTCAATCTTTTTTTTTTTTTCAAATTGGTTTGCATTATGTTGTGTCGTTAGATCTACATCAAATAGGTCCGCCAGTCCACTCATTGAATTGGGTTATTTCATGCACTAGATCTAGGCCTATCGTAGACCTGGCGTTGATATGACTGACTTGACCTCGATCCACGTGATTTGATTTCATGACAGTGACGTCACATCACACACCAGATCGGCAATGTTTTTCCACACATGTGAATTTGGTATCATTTATGGTATCTCACGTTGTATCACATAGGCCTACCTTGGCGTTGAGGTGGGAATTCGAAATCGCGAGTAAACTGCAAGCTATCTTCTAGATCACTAATTGCAGACGGCCTTATCTTCAGTGACTTATTCAAAGTTTTAGGGGGGGCGGGGAGGGGGTGGGGGTGGTGTCATCTCGATGGAATTATCAGAAGGTGTTGGTTGCTTGTTAGGGGTTTAACGTCGCTGTAAAGGCAAGATGCTGTACTGTAGACAGCTTTACTTTCGCGAGCATTTTAATTTCACGAAAGTAAACGTAATAGCTTGCGAAAATAAAGTGGAAGCACGGTGGAAGCAGCTATGTCGACTCGTTTCCATGTTATAGAGCGAGCGAGCTATTTTTAGGTTCTCTGCTAACATTAGAGAACGTAGACAACTTGTATACGTTCTGTAACGTTAGAGAACGTAGACACTACCTTTTATAAAAGTACTTTTGAGTATTTTTAAAGTACATTTTGAGTATTTTTGAAGCTTAAATTAATGAAAGGGTAAGTGACGACTTTTCTGATCATAATTTACGGAACAAACACCCGAGCGGGCACAGCCGATCAACCAAGAGTTAAAAGTTGAGATCAAAGAACGGCCCGTCGCGTCAAAGATCAGCCACTCTCGTGAATGTGATCACAAGCATCGTAAAACTCGGTACAATATAACATGTTTGCTCCAGACGGGATCACACCAAGGTGTGAACTGACCGATACGTTTCTTTTCCCCAAACATCGCACTCGCATCTGAGCTCGCCACCTAAACTTACATCACTCGCTGGGTGGGAAGGGCCTACAAGTTCGCTCCAGGCGGGATCACATCAAACTGTGAACTCTTCCCTGACCGTTGAAAGCAGCTTTTCTCTAATTCCCGAATTTGCGAGACAGCCTGAATTTTAATTGGTGTGGTCACAACGTAATAGTACGTAACGACATAGGGGGGGGGGGGGGGGGGCTCAATCAGAGATGGAAAGCTAAAATTGTTGGACAGGTAAGGGGGAGGGGCAACTGGATAAACGTAGATGTAGATTTCAAGACTCACGATAGGCTAATGAGTGTAATATATTATATAATATATGACGTGCCTCATGCCACTATGATTGGTCATTTACTGTTAACTCCTTGCTGGTCAACAAGGTTGACCACTCTTTGCTCGCCATATGTCATAAACCCACCCAGGGGTCACGTCAGTTCATGGGTTACTGTGGATTCTTCCTTGGCTTCGTCGGCTAAGATCCCATATTATTTTCCTCGCTTCCAAGCTCTGGGATCTTAGGCGGAGACTACTGCAGTAGAGAATCTTTGGTTACACTACACTTACTAGACTCTAGGAAACTACATGTAAACTGTATTTTGGTTTGCCGTAGGCGCCGTGGACCACAGTGTGTGACCAAAATCTGTCTTACCACTATAATCCATTGAAACCGAAACTGTGTTCTCAACACAGAATTCTACACTTGATTGTAGAATTCTGTTGTTCTCAATGTATATATCTAACAATTTTTTAGGCTACTTAAATTTTTTTAACACTTTTTTTGGATGATTTTTTGCTTAATGCTACATTGATTCCTGGGTTGTTAATGAAGAGTTCAAGTTCAATGCACTTTTCCGTTTCTATGCTGGCCATTTTCATCAATTTTTTGTTTTCTTAAGAGCAGCTTTGTATCTACATTTTCCAATTTGGATACTTTTCCTGTAGAACTTTCCGACCTCTTGGACTGACTTACATTTGATCCCCTTGTCTTGCTCAAACAAGTTCTATTCATAGTATCACTTACCCACTATTCGCGTCTGTTTGTTTGGCTTATTATTTTCAATTTCGCGGACCATTTCCACCTACGTTCAGTGCGTACATTGTATATTCAAATGCTTGGTATACTGTTGACATTTTTAGTAATAAATTGCCTAATTTGTCAAATATGCTGGATATGTTATTCAATATAATGTTTTGCGTTAGCACTCGAAGAGTTTTAGCATATTAGCAGAAAGTAGGCTACTCAAAATGTAGGGCCTACTCATAAGTACTTTTTAAAAAAGTACTTGCTCTCAAGTACATTTTACAGGAAAGTACTTTTACTGTACTTAAGTAGATTTTTTCAGATTGTACTTAAATTTTAACTGAAGTACTTTTTAAAAGTACTTTAACAGCTGTGCGTGTTTGACATTGTCTATTATTAATTTTACCCACAGGAAGTCGAGTTGTTATTGCTACGTATAGCTCTTCTACGAAATAAAAATAGGAAAAGTGTTTCACAAAAATCTTGTAAACGAGAGTTACTTCCCGTGAACGTTTCCCTCGAACTGTAGGCCTACTATTCTATTCTCTGCTGTTGTTTTGTGTTGGCCCAGGCGAGATCTAGGCTGGACTTCCTTGATCGTTTTCTTTTTTATAGTTTTTTTTTTGTTTGTCAATACTTGATTTCGCCTTCTTGTGTTTCCCGTGAGGCTTTCATCATAATTGAATAATATCAAGATTCTAGATCTAGAATTTTCTTCTTCTCCTTTCTTTGGCTTGAAACTTGTGTGCCAGAGTGAAAATTGATAATAATGTGCAGCGAGTATTCACTTGACTTGTCTGTCAGTGTCTCGGGTCACCTGGGGTCAGTGTCACTTCGACTGATACTAACTTGATACTGATGATCTGTGACAAACTACACGCTCCCTTGACTCACAAGTACTCTGGTGATAATGATATTATAAAATCCCTCATACGGTCATACACGCCTACCCGATTATATTATATTATTTTATTATCAAAGACCTCCCTCTCTGTCGAAGTCAAGACTTTATTAAGAACTGGAATTAGAATTCTAGATTAGATTAGATCTAGAATCTCGATCTCGATCTAGAATCTAGTCTAGATCTATATGTTGGTCCATAGTCCATGTCTTTTAAGTCTTAAGACTAGATAGAATCTAGATCTATACGGTGACAGTGTTTTATATTTAAAAAGTAAAAGTAAAAACTTAAAATAGGTCCTGACTTAGACAAGTTGTGTTTAACTGGACAAGGACTGTTGTTCTCATCACTTGAGACTGAGACTAAGACCTTATAAGCTGTCACTTGCAGAGCCTTATTTTTTAAAATATAGAAATGGCTGAAGCTCTGAAAGAGAGAGAGGTTGAGTTAGTTGTACTTTCAGAACAAACTGAACCTCTGCTCGTACCATCTCAATCCGAAACTGCAAATCAGCAAAACCAAAATGGAGCAACTGCTAATACCCAAAGTGCAAACAATTCTTTGGACCAGGGTGAAGAGGAAGATCATGTTTTCTCAAATCCACAAGGAGGAGCATCCAATATACCTTCTTCACCAACAAACAAAGGTGACGGACCATCACCGTCTCATACTTTTGAATTTCTAACAAGTGGAGGCATTCCTAAAAATCGCAAACGGCCTGGTTCGACAAGTGACAGTCAGAGAGTGACAATGACTGGCATGGTGACCAGAGGCAGCAGTGTTGGCCAGCCAGTTGAGGCAAGCTTTGTTTGATTTTTTACTTTTTTGTTCTGTAACTTTTCTCCCTTTTCTCTTTCCCCACTCTCCTTTTTTTTTTTTGTGGTAAGTCTCTATTTTTGAAATAGGATTATATTGGCAAATCTTGATTAAGCCTGATGTTGACTGTTTCAATTTATTTATAAGGGAGGGGTTCTGCAGAGGGCCGGCACTTACGGTGACAAGGTCCACTGAGCAAACTATACAAAAAGAGTTCTAGGGTTAAGGTTAGAGTTAGGGTTAGGGTACCCTGCTCAAAATCAGCTCTTTTGTGTGTTATTGGTTGGCCGGCCCTCTGCGGAACTCCTTCCCTTTATTAAAATAAGTGGTGATGTTTGTCTATGGTGACCTAAAAGCCTACCAAAAACATAAAAAAATATTTATAAATCTACGAAAACTGAGACAAGAAGTAGCTATGTAGAGTTTGTAAGAAAGACTTCTTGCACACAGCTCATTCTTTGACTACACAAAAAAAATTTCATCTTAATTGATTCCTAAAATGCTTCTTGTGTCATTTGTTGTCTTTACTTACAGTTGACAGAAATTCAACTTTAAGTTGTAAAGAGAACAAATCCTATTCATGTTTAAATGCATCATGCAGTACTTGAGCCTTCTCAGGATGCCTTGTGTAGTTACGGTTTCATTATGAAGTTATGTACGGTAACATACATGATTATAACATTTCTGTCTATTAGATTGCATGACTTTAGAAAGACAACTTAAAAAAAAAAAAGAAATTCAAGTATGTGAAAAATGAAAAATTTAGGTAGAAAAAAAAAATAGAGAGAGAGAGAGTAGTTGTGGCAGATGGAGTGAAGAAGAAAAGAGAAGATAACAGAAGTGCTGGTAAAGTAATGTGGCTCTGGTAAAATTATAACCTTTGTATCTGATTGGCTTTACCTTGCCTTGAATTATTTTTCAAATCTCCAAAACCGACCTCCAATTTTGTGATTTTAGCATTACGTGTGACTCCTCCCAGGTTCAGATGGAGCTTACAGAGACCGAATTTCTTCGCTTGACGTCCCGAGAATCACACCCAAAGCCGAAAGGAACACGAGGATGTGACCGCTACCAGGGTGTGCATATCATCTTGTGGTCAGTTCTGTGTATGCCAGTTGCCATGGTGATATCGCTGTGCATGTCCTTCTACAATGGTGCTATGACCTGGTATAACCTCATCATCTACTTCAGTGAGGAAAAGTCGTGGGTTCACAAACTCACCCTTTGTCCAATCCTCATTCTTTCTTTTCCTCTCACTGTCGGCTTGTCGTCTGTCGCTATCTCACTGGTTGCCATGGTGATGCAGATCTCATGGTCGTGGCGGGTTTGGTGGGCTGAGTTTTGTGACGGGGAGAAAGGTTTCTATGGTTGGTTCTGTAGCAAGATAGGACTCCCCAACTGCTCCCCGTACGAGGTGGTGGTGTTAGATGACGCGCCGTTGTAATCCCAGATCCGTGTCAAACCCCCCAACTGTTCTGTCGACCAGGTGATGATGTTATATATGATACACCGAATTGTAAGTCTAGAACACAGGATAATGTAACATGATGCAATAGTAATATCCTAGAACAATATCAAGACTCTCCAACTGCTCTTCCAATCAGGTTGTGGTATTAGATGACGCACCTATATATAATATATGTCTATAGCATGGGGTGGTGTAACATGATGCAGCGATGTAATCCCCAATCCATATGTGAGGCAGGCAGCGTGGTGAAATTAGATGCTCGTCAATATAAACACGGGAGTCGCCACTGCTCGAAAAATGAGCAACGCTTCTGTCGCAAATTCTTGTTAATGTCCTTTGTTACTTAAGTAAACAGAACTTTGATCAGTCACCTCACATACGATTTGTGGGTATGAGTTGTGGGCGGGGCTTATAGGTGACGTATCAAGCGCTTCCCTCACCAGCAGTTGAAAATTTATTGTTACCATTGGTTGACTTGGGTTAGCATTCATTGGACGGAATAACAATAATACCAGGTGAATGGAATATGACAAAGCGTCGGGTGATGCGAGACCACGCTTTTCTGTCTTAAGCCAGTAAAATTGAATGTGGGTTTATAAAGTAAGGTGGCCGCGTCTGCGTTGGACAGGTGACTGTTGTACACAATTAAGTTATGTAGAACACGCAAGGGGGGGGAATGGAAAGTGGCCGTTTGTACAGTTGGCCGTATTATACAGGTGGCCAGTTGTATCTGGATTTCTATTCAAGATAGAAATGTATTTTTTTTTATCAGAAGATGGTCAAATGAACAAGCTTTATTAAGATGATACCAATAACTCCAGATGTCCAAAAATTGACGAGCACCTGATTCCACTGTGGTATGACACATATCAGACTCCCCAACTGTTCTGTCTACCAGGTGGTGGTGTTTGGTGGTGCAACAATGTAAGTCTAGAGCACAGGGTTGTGTAACATGATGCAACAATATGATCTCGGGAGGGGTGGGGTAACAATAGTACTGTAACATGATGCCATGATGTAATCTTTAGATACAGGGTGGTGTAAAATGATGCAGCAATGATATGATTTCAGGCACTGGTCATAAGTCTAGACCACAGAGTGGTGTAATGTGATGCAACGATATAATTCTAGAACGAGATGAGACTTCTAATGTTTCCAACAATCAGGTTTTGGTGTAAGATGATGCACAGATGTAATCTGACAGTATGGTTCTATAATAATTTTGGGTTTTTTCCCCTGTCTGTCTTTTCGCAATTACAGTTGAAATTGTGTGGGCCTAGCCACCCATTGTCGAGCAGAAAAGTGTTTGTTTTAGACTGGTGGACATCTTTGAACGTGTCATTGTAATATAATGTAAAAAATACGCAAGGGGGGGGGGGGGGGGGGGGGGGGAAGCGGCCATTTATAGACATGATTGTCTTAATACAGGTGGTTGTTGGAACTTGTTTGACTGTACCTATCATGTATATTCATTTTTTAGAAATTGTTTTGAAGAAAACTTTACAAACAATGGTCACCCAAATTCAACTTAAATGTCTTGATCAAAAGTGAAAATATCTCAATAATTGAATTTTTTCAGTACATAAAACTGAATACAGCTACATTTACTCTTTCTGTTCCATGCACCAATATATCTGGGTCTTTATAAACCCTTTTTAATTATGTGCTGATGGATCGTGGTGCAGAAAGAGTTAAGGATATAAAACAAGTAACAGAAAATTTCCCCTCACCAATATGAGAGAAAATAAGACTCTGACAAGTGTGTTGTGATTGTATACACTTTTTAAACTCTTGCACAGATATATAATATTATTTTTTTTACTGCAAGCCTTCATCAGGCTTCTTAACAAAATGCACAAATTTCCAATATATATTATATGGGTCTATATTTTGGAGTCAAAAACTTATATTTACTGGTACTTTTATTTATTTTGCTTTTGAAAGTGAAAGTGGATGGATGGACTGAAGAAAGTAAAAGATTGTTAAAACTTTTTTAAAAAAATTGAATGTAATGTGGTGTAAATGCTGAAGCTGTATAACTGGAAGAAATGGGTCAACACTGTTTTTGTTAAAAAACGACTACTTACTTTACTTACTTTTTCTGTCCACTTATAACTGCAAGGTGTTGTGAGGGGAAATGTAGTTGTTGGATGTGAGCAGGGTCTTTGCTTTTTGGCTTGTCATTTTGTGCCTTTGAAGAGTCTCTTCGACTACGTTGATTTTTTTCTTGGCCTTCCTTTTGCCTTGAAGCCATCGAATCTCATGTTGTAGGTCTTTGAGGCTGTTGTGGCCCCATTGTCATATACACACATGTAACTTGTCAAACCATTGTATTTGTTGTCTCTCAATGTATTTAATTTCACGCCCTTTCAATGCTCACTTGTTCACATTTTTTTTTCTCTGTCTCTTTTTGTGATGTTCAACGTTTTTAAAATTCATTTCATTTTGCATGCTGTTATTTTACTTTGCTACGTTTTGTCGACAGAAATTTCATCCCGCCCCCTGCCCGGGGCGGTACTACTGACCGAAGTGTCTTTACTTTAGGCCATTCCCAAAGGGGGGACTTTAACATGTTCTTATGCACCGTAGAATTGTAAATGGTCTGATTCATCAATGTCAGGCTCATAACTGTGCCTGAACTGCAACAGGGGACTGCTTCTTTTTCTTTCCCAATCCTTACTGTCGTCTTTTTTTTCTCTACTTCCTATGTTTATCACACTCTTGTGACCTACTATTTCCAGGGTGCCTTGACTTGATAGTCGAAGCAGACTTTGTGCTATTGAAGCTAGAGAGGTGAGCAGAGTAAGCCTGATTCCCTGATTCTCAACTTCTCTGTTGACGCCCACCCCTTGGCACTCATATATTATGACCTTACGCAGTTTCAAGCGCCGTAAAGACTACTAAAACTAAAACTACAGAGAAATTTCAAATTACATGTATCTGCTCGATTCTGTGTGAGAATGAAATTATTTTCAATCTATATATATTTTACATTACAGTTACAGAACAATGCCTTGTTCCAAATTCAAACTCCATCTTATTTTTACGAATTATTACGCCCCCTCCCCCCCCCCCCCCACCCTAACCTCTCAATAATAATGATAAAATGATATTATGGTAACAAAAGAAGAGGTCTGTCTTTTTATTTTTTCAGTTAAGTTTAGTAATAACTCTTCATTGTACAGTGCCTAGACCCTTCTAGGGATTGGGTGAATAAGAAATTCCCATGTTTTATTATTACCTTTACAATGTATTTTATTATTTGTTTTCATCATTTGTTCAATGTTTGTACCAATGAAGGTTTTGTCATGAATTGTGACAATCTGAAATCTTTATTAGGTCATGCTGGGTTTGGAAGATTTTTTTTGGTAGAGTTTGCAAGCGGATGATTGGCAGGTGTTCTGGTGTGGTTTGCTCCTTCTTTCCTGTTACATTAAACATCTATTGTCTTTATCTCCCCTCCTTCTTAATCTTTTTTGTGTTTGTTACTCTCTTGTAACACCTCTAATCTTCGGCACTTATATGACCTTATTGTGTTACAAGTGCTGTAAAACTCTTACTAAAAAAAAGAGTTATAATCTGTTTTGCTTTCTTTTCTCTGAAAAATGATTACTTTAAATTACAATATGGTTGAATTTATGTGCGCATATCCACACTCTTCAGTATGCTGTATGTGTGCTTTTACAACATTTCTTGTAGTTCATTTATATTTAGATTTAGATTTAGAATGTGGAAAATTGTCTTGAAATGTGAATTGTAAATGTTTTTAAGATATTAAGAATCATTTTCTAAGTCTTTACATGTTATTATAAGTTTATATATGTATGCCATGTGTACTCGCTTAGAATTAGGAAATAGATTTTTATTTCAGATTATTTTAGATATTTGCTTTTAAACAAATAATGGGGCGCTCTGTCAGTTCATTGGTGTCATGCTGGACTACAAAATTCCAGACTGGGCGTTCTTGAACTCGGGTCGTTTTATGGAGTTTACAATGCTCTGAACACATTTAGCTCGATGCTGTCAAAGTTGTATGTTAAATTGATAGGGGCGTAAAGCCCATATATATGAACTAAACATCTACAGTGGAGTTGGAATCTCTGGGACCACCAGATTTTTTGTTTTGTTTTGCTCGGTTTTCAGTTCAGAGATATTGAAAAATTTTTGATTTTTTTTTCTTTTGGTTTACCACTGTTTTTGGATTGACCATGTTTAGTAGTTTAAGTGGACTCCACCCCAATTCTCACTGTTGCTAGTCAGCTGGCTAAAATTCTCTCAAGCAAGTGGTTGGGGGAGGGGGTGGGGGCGCCGCTGGTAGGTCCTTCTTCTTTATGTGTCTTACTTTTTCCCAGCACTAAATGACCTTTATTGTGTCACAATGTGATTCTCTTTCCTTAAACAAACACACATGTTTCTCAGGCTTTTGTTATGTGATGATGAACTGGTTATCTTTTGTATATGATGCCAAATATTATATTGTATGCAAGATCAAATAACTTTATATTTTTACAGTACTTTTAGGTTGCTATTCGCCCAATCTTGTTGTTGACTCTGTAACTATAGAGGGCTATAATGTGTTGACTGTTCTGCAACACAGGAAGACAAAGAATAAATCTCAGTCACTGTCAGTGTCAGTATCGCACATAATTTGAGTAAAATGTGTCACCAGTGTCTGTGATTTATTTTACTGGTTAGCCACTACGTTGTCGCACGCGGGAGACTCAAATTTGATTCTTGAGTGGGGAGAATTTTTGTCGAGTACATTCGTGATTTTTTCGCTGGGATGTTGTATCCCTCTCAACCTCTTTTGGCCTTGAAAGGCAGGTTGGAAATGATGTAAATTGTGTCAATGGGAATGTAAAAACACATTTTAAAAGATTTCTAAAATAAGTGTGCCACCGTGAAGTCTAGCGACAATCAGGTTAAATACCAAATTAAATTTTTTCTTATCAAGAACATTATGACACGTGTGCTGGACTGAAGTGAAGCTAATCTGCGTTGCTCACTTAGAGTTGTGAGTGAGAAAGTTTTTTGTATGAAAAAAAAAGAGTAATTTCTATGCTGTGCAAGTGTTGTAGCTCTTCTATTACCTGCCTCAAGTATTAGTGATTGGGTAACTTAGTACAGTTTTAAAACCCATTCCCCAACCCCACACACCTCTCCAAAAGTATCCTTCTTTCAGAACTTTCTGAGACATAAGATGATATGTCGAATGTTGTTGTATTTTTGTTTTGGGTTTTAACTGTTTATCTTTTAAGAATCTGAAGCCAACATTTTGTATGTGATACTTGTGACTTTTATAAAGACTTTATTCCGGCAACAGAGTATGAAACAGTTAAGAAAGTTACAGATGCAGTTTTCCCTTTTTTTTTCTTCCTATAATTTCCGTTATTTTCAATAAGAAAAATTATTAATATTATTCTAAGCCTTGCATTTTTGTTTTAACCCCATATATATCAGTTAAGTCTGTCTTTTGTTTTCAAATGCAACTTTGTCAGGTATTTTCAGAAAGGGTGACCTTATTTAGGCGACATGCTACACCCCATTCCCTAACCTTATGTAGGCCACATATGGCCTATATGAGCTAACCCCCCCCCCCCCAACCTTCTTTAGGCCACGTATGGGCTATATTAGCTAGCCTCTCCCCCCCCCCCCCCCACATAACCTTTTTTAGGCCATACATGTATTTTTTAAATATATATATATATATATATATATGATTCTCAGG